TACGGTTAGGGTTGATCGTCCGTCTATATCATTATTTATTGGCGTTTTTACCCAAATTTCTCAAATAAAACTATTTTCAAATACCTATTGACTGTTGATTGGCACTTACGTGGATCAAGCTAGACATTTACAAGGGTAATTTCCCCCTTGTTTTGTGGGGGTTTTCTAAATAAAAACAAACACATGTGTTCGAATTTTACCAATTGGTTTGTGTAAAATAAAAAAAAAATATATATAATATATACTGTAACAAAAAAAATATACATAAAATTAATTAGGTAGGGTAATCCTGTTACCAACAGGTCCCTATAAAAATTTGAAAAATGTATTGCTCCGTTAAAATTGAATCCAATCCAAATGGAAAATCATAATTATAATTAGCAAAATGTCAATGAACATAATATAAAATGGTCGTTCTTGTAGAAACACTTCAAGTAAATCATCTGTTCGATGAGAGGGAGGGGCTGAAATGGTGGGAAAGAGTGCAGAGAGGGAGGTGGCGACAGATACAGAAGGGAAAAGTAGGTGGGTTTTGTATGCTTAGCTAAGGGTGAACACGATAGGTAATATTTAGTGTGGATTCAAGCGGCATTTTCCCTAATTTTTAAACCCAGTTTTAATTTTTAACATTTTTTTATTTTTGCTTGGATATTATTTTAGTCACGTTTGCTAAATAATACGGCCGCCATTTACATTTCTATCACGAAAAGGCTCAATTACACAGCTTAAGCCAAACCTAAACACACACGATTTTATTAGTACATCACGCTGTACGTCCATCCTAGTCAAAAATCTTGTACACACGGGTCTTTAACATAAGATGTATGTACAATGTACATCTTTGTATCTGGTGCTCGTCGACAGGCAAGCAACAAAGAAATAATACAAGCGTTAAATATTATCCACCGATTGCCAAAAATATAATAATTTATGCGCGTTGGCCTGTCGAGTGAGGTTTTTCTAACTCTCATATCTCTGCTTTCTCTTATGATAAGCGTTTGAAATTTGAAATATAGATTAAGCTTAGGGGACTTAGAACGCTGTACAAAATTAACCCCTTAATATTATGCCATTTCAAAAAGGGAGAACTTTAATGTTTGCATTTTTGTTACTGGCTCACTGATCATTAAAATTATAAGGCACTTTTCTATAGATAAAAGTGTGATATTTGGGAAAAAGGTAGTTCTTATAGTGTAAGTAAAGGAAAAAATCTTAAAATTGCAATGTTATCAAAATTAGTGCCGTTTGAGAGATGGTATTTGTAATACATCATATTTTATCGATCGTCGAATACAGAATAATTTAATAATCCTAATAATATTATTTAACTCAGTCTATACTCTATACTAGTGTTAATTTTCGTCAGTAAAATATAAATAATCTACCACCACTGTTGTGGCACGACCTGAGTATAAAAAAAAAATAGCAAGTGCCCAACAAAAAGCTAACCGTGAAAAAAAGGCCAAGTTCAATGCCTAAAAGTCAGCCTATCAAAGTAGTAATATCTACATTGTGGCAAATTCTGTCGTATGCCTCATTCAAAAACCTGTTCAGTCAGACCATCGAGCAGTCACTGGCCGTGGAATGGTCCTACTCCTTATCACTTGCTTAATACAAAAGGAACATAAATAAAATCTAACAACCACGGGTTTCAGCCTGAACCAAATTCCAAAAATAGTGTCCTATTTGCCCAATTGTCTCTTCCACGGCTCTCGCACCAGAGCAGTAGACAATGAGCAACTAGCAATCGGCAATAAGTGATGATATTGCCAGTTAATTACTTACTATTACTTACCGATTGCTAGTTGCTCATTGCCTATACTGCTCTTTTGTGATAGCCGCCTTATTGTAGAGACACAGCATATACCCCATGTATGGTCATTTATTTTAAATTCATCATGGGACAATAACTATGTAAATAGTATAACTAAGATATTATTTAAAATTTAACAAATAAAAATAAAGACAAACATTTTTGTTTTTGTTTAGAAAACTTCAAAGGAACATATTTATCTACCAAAAATTTGGTATTAACTAATACCAATATAATAATTAAAAAAATAATGAATACATATTCAAAATAAAAAAAATATGTTTCCCATCGTTCATTTTAAAATAAGTTTAGATTTTAAAACAAAATATGTTGTTAATTTAAAAGTAATTTAAAAATTGTTTAAATGTAATGAATACCTACCGAATATACAATATAGAATGAAACATTAATGAAATATATTATATTTAATATGTTTTTATTTTTTATTTTAGGGCCATAAGTTCGCCAAGGTAAAATAATCAAAACATTTTAATCGAAATATATTTTAAGTGATGAGAGCCAAATGGATATTATAAGTCACCTTTTTAAACATGTTATAAAAATTAAATTGTTTAACCTTACCTTTACAATAAGGTTTTGCTACAACATAATTTATTTGACCAAAAGTACCACTGAGATAAACAATTTGTATTATCTGTTGATGCTTATTTGTAAATACAGAACCTCAATTTAAAACTTTCTAACTTTGCTGGTTTATACTGTGCTTGGTTTGGACTGTACTGGCTTGAAAATACTAACTACCGATTTGCATCGAAGCGTTTTTTCGAAAGTGATTTTATAACTTTCAGATTTAAAAATTCCTGTAAACCTGTGACCTCCCCGTCACCACTATGCCCTGACCTTACTGTACTGGTTTTTTTAGTATTAAAATTGTTTGTGTTAGATATAATCATCCAAAATTTTAAATTGCTTACAACTGACAATTGGCGATATTTTTCTAAAGAATTGTTCATAAAACAATAGATATGACTGTGTGTTTAAAGAATAATATGTATAGATACTTGTTATTCTACCACGGCCGCACCAGTAATAACAAAATGAAAAATATATTATAAAGGATTAGGTTACTTTTTATATACTTAATGATGATACATTTTCTAAGGAGTTATAATATTAACCGACTTTTTGAAGTATGTCATCCTCGCACCCGCAAATCGTAAATTCGATTGGAAAACTATCTCATTAATTGTTATTTGAATTATACAAATCAGTAATCACATTTTAACTGCTAAACATAGTGCAGCAAGACCCAAGACAAATTATTAAAATGGAGAATTAAGTTTATTGGACCCATTATGCGGCACACACAATGTATTATAAACATAATGGAAGGGAAAATAAATGGTAAAAGATATATAACGATATAATATAGGCAACTGTGGTATTAAATTAGTATACACAGACGATCAACCCAAAGAAGAACAATTGATCCAAGAAATGCAAGAAAAGAAAGAATACTACTTGGACGACTCAGACAGATATAGATGTAAAACTTACTAGGAATAAATAATGAAGAAGAAATTACTATAGATGGGGATAGATGTAAAGGAGAAGTACATTTTTATTTTTAAAAACGTTTCGAATTATGTTCTGTATAATATGGTGAAAAGGATTATGGATCTGTTTAAATCTACACAAAAGGAACAAATGTGTTTTTAATCGTAAATAAAACTGTTTATTATGACATATATTAAATTAGTTGAGCTATTAATGCAATACGAGAATATTGTTACAATAGAATAACTATTAAATAACTATAATATTAAATTATGTAGAAGACTTATACCATTGACTCCGGGTCTAAATTATAATAAATGCTCCTCGACTAGTTGTACTCTACTGTTATCTATTTTATGTGCGTCCAAACGCCATTAATTTTTCGGTATATTTTTTGTTTTCTTCCATCCCATAGAATACATTCATCATTGTTGTTCGAAGCGTTAATCCGAAGCTTTCTTATGTATGAATTTGGAAGTTGTGTACTTATGTATAATGCTATCATACGACACATCCGTAATACAGGTATTTGATCATTAGAACAAGTATAAGTTTCATCTAAAAAATAATAAAACATTTTTGTTTTTTAACTTGCCAAAATTTGATTACTAGTGAATACTTTGTAACATTGTAGTAAAAATAAAATAAAGCAAATTTCAACTCTAAAACAAGCTTTAAATGCTATTTACGACTATAAAAAATGTCCTAATTACTTAGGTCTTCAACATCTTCAGGAGTAACCCTTCCTGTAACATATTATACATAAATTAATTATGCAGTTTATATAATATGGTATATATTATATGTTATGTAAAATAGCATGCACTATAAAACCTAAGCAAGTCCATATAAATATTTACCTAATACACGTGTGATTGTATTTTCTACAGATGTTCCAGAAACTCTGCTTTCTTCTGCAAGGGTTGTCAAATTTAAGCGGCCTAAATCTACGAAAATAATTATTAAACGACTTTGTATCTATACTTGAAATCCCAAAGATCTCATTACACATTATTATAAGTATAATTTGTTTTTCTTTTGCAAAGTGAAAAAAAATAATTTACAAACACAACGTTCAAGAACGTTCAAAATACATAAATGGTTACTGGTTTCTCAACAAAACGTTTATTTTACTAGAATTATTATTGTTTAAAATAAAACATTAAACAAATAAAATCAATTAAATTTCAACTCTACAACAAGGCAATTTTTGATAAACGAAAAATTCATAATTACCTTGGACTTCATCAGATTCAGGAATAGCAATTCATGTAACAAATGCATCAAACACCAAATAAATTTGCAGTTAATAAACCCCGGTATATACATTTTATAATTTATTTACAACAGTCACTTTAAAGCTAATAGCAAAAATTAAATGAACGATTTTTTTTATTATATTTCGAATGATCATCAAAAAATTAAGCATTATACATATATGAGGCGAATAGGGAAAAGGAACCTTTTGTAGCAGAAGTCAAATTTGAGTTTTTGGTTGTTCTAAATTCTGCACTTTTCTATCATCAGGAAGAGCTGCTGGGGGACCAGGGTGGGACACCCACATATATAGGTGTATAAATATAAAATTTAATTCATTCGATTTTTTTTATAGTTTTTCATCAAAACTACATTTATGTATAGTTATCAATTATTACAATTTTATATTTACTTATTGAATCTCTTATTTTTAGTTCTAGCTCCGACATAAAGTTGTCATACATGGGTCCTTAAATTAAAAACAAAATATATTTTTATTTTCCTAGATATTTGTTATGATTGAAAACAATAAACTATAGTGGTATTTGTAAATAGTAACTTACCAGTTACTACTTTTCTTTATGGTACAGAACACAAATATTTTATTTGTTTTAAATAAAGTCATATGAAAACTAATAAAATATGCTTGGTGTCTGTATTGTACACAGCTATCCTCTTTGTATTACAAGAAAGTATGTGTTAGTAATCATCACTTATTTGGATAGTTGTTAAAAATTAAAAATAGTATTATCCTTTTTATACTGTAGTGAATTATTCCTATTTAAAAAATTTTCTTCTAAAAAAATTTTATATAAAATTTTAGTCCAAAACCCTAACCACTTCATATTAATATTTATTTACCTAATTCGCGTTTTAACATATTTCTTAAAGCTTGAACAACATATTCCCTTCTCTCGTTTGCGAGGGTTTCCAAAGTTGATCCTCCAAAATCTGCGAAAATCATTTAATGGCGAAGAAATAATCAAGATATAAAAATATTTTAGTTGCTTGTGTATAACTTATTTTTTGTAAAACCAGTCATTAGTATTAAAACTTAACGAATGTATTCTTTCTACACTTGAAATCCCAAGGAGCTTATTAAAGGCTATTTATGGCTAACGAATAATTCTTAATTACCTTGGCCTTCATCTTGAGGCATAACAATATCTGTAAAAAAAAATCAAACATTAAATCGTAATTATGCATATAAAAAATCCGGTGTGTATATTTTATATCTTATATTTAACAGTCACTCTGAAACTGAGATAAATTAGACCAATTCAATATGTATGATTATTAATATTTTTAATTTGATATTTACTTAATATATTTATTATTGCTCGTTGTATATTATACTGGTAGTGAATGCATTCTAAAATTTAAAAATATATATATTTTAATCTACATAGTTTTTTTTATGATTGAAACTTATATATCCCATTGGTATTTTTGAATAGGTACACATGGTTATTCTCGAAGTAATTATAAATAATGAATATGCGTTTAATATATTAAATATTATGAAATATACAAATGCGGTTACTTTTCATTGGGGAAAGGGTTTCGTATTCTGAAATTAAAACAAAAATCTTAAAGAACATCAAACAACTGTGTGAAAACATTCCATAATGCGTCATATTGAAATTTATTACCTGGTATGTCTTTGAATATTTCCGTTTTGTCTGAAATTAAAATTAGATAAATTAATGATATTGCATTTAATTTTCTAATATATAGTCTATTTTGAATATTTCAGTAAGATGCTTTTGACTCAATTAATTTGAACAAATTTATTTTGGCATTACGGTGCGGCGATGAACACTGGAATAAATAATTGGAAATATTCTCATAAAATTCAATAAAAACTATTACCTGGCATAGCAATCATATAACTGATTTTGGCTGAAATTGTTATTATATAAAATAAAGATATTAGATTTGATTTGCTATTAATAATTATTACATTATATAATTATATAAATTGAAAGTAGAAAAAACTATATTAAGCAGACTAGGAAATCTTTATGAAAATACAATGGCTGAATTAAAGCAAATGTGATCATGCGAATAAAATATAATACCCAACAAGAAGAGGTTGACTGAGCTAACATCAGTATTTTTTCATAAAGATTCCATTTAGATTTCGGTGAAAAATGTAATATTTATATCACTTATCGATTTCATATAGTTAAATTTGAGTTGCAATTGTTATATAATTAAAAAATATTTTTTTCTACTTTTTTTTTTTTTAATTTTAACTATGACTACCGAAAGACCTCCGCAAATGTGCAGTGAAATTAACCAGTTTTTCAATTACACGCTCCAATCCATCTAGAATAAACAAAAATGCATTTGGACTATACTAGAAGATTGAAATAAAATAAAATTAGGTACCATATAAATCCTTAGAATAATATTAAACCATACTTTAATCAGTAGTCATTTGATTTAAAGCTACCCTCTCGGTTAGGTTTTTAGAAATCGCTATTAATAACTTGACTATTAGGTGAGTAAGTACACATAACTATACATTTATATATTAGAATATCAATTTTAAATATATCTTACTTTCTCTAGGATTACCATCTACAGTTAAATTATAAGCATTCTTAATGGCTGTATCTGTAATAAATAATTTAATAAAATATCTATGATATCAGTGAATTTTAAAAAATTTAAAAAAATTATTTTTATTAAACAAAAATATTACTGACTTGCAAGAAAAACTTGCTTTAGACAATCCGCTGTAAAAAAAAAAGGTGAAATATTGGTTTATTTCAAATTTTGGACTACACTAAGTTTGTAATTGTGAAAACAAATAAATTACCTTCTTCGTCTGCCGAAGCACTCACAAGGACAAATGTTAATAAAAAACAGAAAAGTTTCATTTTTATCTGCAAATAATAACCAAAACATGACTACGCATAATGTTTCTTAGTCAACTCATGAAAAACTTTATAATTTACTTTAACTATAAAGTCAGAGTAAAACATTTGTTTTTGCATGTTTTTAATTTTTTAACATTAGTTTTGGCTATTATAAAAATGTAAAATATGCAGAATTTAGTTCCTTAAAAAATAAAATTGTTTTAATTTTTGTAGTTTTAAAATCAATTATAAAATTCTCTCTAAAATGTCGGTTGTGTAAAAGGCAATGTTTGTATCTATGTTTTGGTAAACATAATATAAGAAAACAGTTCACTCAAAAACGCTATTAATAGACGCTGTTAAGACCCATTAAAAAAATAAACAGTAAAAAAATATCCTTGTTACTGCTTTTTAAACTATAAAATTTGGCCGATTAAGCACATGCCATTTTAGTTTTAGTGTAGGTAAATACAATCTTTAGAATTTTATAGAAATATTTACTAAAATTGTCGCGCTAGCAGAATTTCTTTGACGATTATCAGCTTTTGAAACTAAATTTTCTTTTTGCGACTTATGGACAGGCTTGTGTTTTAAATGAAAAATCAGAATCTAATTAGTTTTAGCAGATTAACTATATTTACTTATATACACAGCTAGTTATTTTTTTTGTATACTATTTATATTGTACACACATTACTTTGGCGCAGAATTTAGACTATGTTCTTCTTAGTGTTAGGTTTTATAAAAGAACATAAAAAAACAAAATACGTTTTTATTATTCATGTCTAGAATATAACATAGGTATAAAAAAAAAATACCACTGAAAAATATTTTAAATTTTGAATTAAATATGTTTTTTTTTCATATTAGATTATTACTTAGTTAATATGGTATACACTATAGATATTTTAAAGTAAAATATTCAGTTGGTTTTTTTTGTTATTGTTTTTTTTTTTTTGATAACAAACCGGCTATAGCTGTTCAAAAAATTGTTTTCAAAAGAACTTGTTATTGTAATAGAACCACAGCAGATGTTCTTTTAAAGTTGTATTTCAGACTTTAGTTCTGTACTGTTTTTTTTTTGTATACAGACCATAGTTGTGCATATAGTATATCTAACAGTAATTATTTTCAGCATCGATATTAAATGATAAAGTGTTTTTCTATAAAAAGCCAGTACAGTAGGGTCGAGCCATAGTAGAGACGAAGCATGTACATATATTATACAAGTATATATAATTTATTACAACTGAATGTGATAAAAACACTTTCAAATAAACGCCCCGGTGCGAATCTGTAATATGTTTGCATGTTTTTAGTTTTACATTTTTTTTCTTAGCAAATATAAAAAAAATGACAAAAAAAAATTGTACACGCATATTAATCAAAATTTAGTTCCCTATAAAATAATGTTTTTGTAGTTTATTTGAGTTATTTTGGAAAACCTAAATCATTTTGCTGAATATTACTTGTTTGGCAAATTATTTTTTTTTTAATTTAGGTTTGTGTAAAATGTATAAGAAAATCATTCTGTTAGGATCCTATACAAAAATCACTAGCACTAAAAAATACTGTTTTTTATACACTATAACTGCTGGCTAATTAAGATAATACCATTTTGGTTTTAGCGTAATTACAATTTTTAGAGTTTCATATGAATACTTACTAAAATTGTTGAGCTGATTTTCTTAGACAATTATCGACTTGAACAACTTTTGAAACTATATGGGCTTCTTGCGACTTATATTTCTACCGTAAAACCAATATGTAATACGATTTTGCAGTGTAACTATGTTCGTTTAATTACACAGCTGGTTATTATTTTTTTTTTTTTGTGGGGTACACATACATTACTTCAACGCAGAGAATAGTATTTTTCTTTTGTCACCTATGTGTATATAGATATAATATATATAATATAATAATATATTATAGATACACTGACGTGTGATGGTCGTTTAACCGCCGCACAGTGGGCTGAAATAAAAATTACCTCACATAAACTAATACATTTTAACCAATTTTTTTAAATATTTTACATCAATTTATAAGTTCTGAAGGCCGCTGAACTCAAACTGAAATTCTGTTAAAAATGATTACTGTACTTAGGGGCAAAAGAAGGCAAACCAAAATGTCATGAAATAAATAAATAATACTATGTCTACGCTTAATATGTAATTGAATGAGTAAAAATTAGTGAATTTTTAAATACACTCTTATATTTGTATAAATTTAAAAAAAAATAGTGTGTTACAGCCCACTGTTCTTTTCCCTACAGTGTTCTTTTTATAACTGAACGCAGTGGATTTTAGTTTTTTTTTTTTTTTGGGGCGGATAACTTTTATTATTTTTTTCAGTTAAAATAGTACCAATGTATTTCAACTGTTTAAATAAAAAAATTGACAATTGGAACATTAGCTGGACAGAAATATGGTGCAAGAGCCAAGACAAATTATTACAAATGATAGAAAAAAGAAGAGTTTATTTATGTGAAAGTCTTTATATATTATTTTACTGGTTGCTTATACTCCGTCGTTCGATTTTAACTAAACAGAGAAAGTAAAAAAGTAAGCTAAGCACAATTCTATTTAGAGGATAAGTACAATTTTATTTATAAAAATGTTTCGCATTAAATTATGTACTATATGGTAAAAAGGATTAAGAATCGGTTTAAATTTACAAATATTCAACATATGTGATTTTAATCCCGAAAAGTGTTTATTGTGAAATATATTAAATTAATTGAGCTATTATTGCAATACGAAAAATATTATTACAATCTAATAACTATGATATTAAATTATGTAGAAGTCTTATCCCATTGATTGCTTCTCTACTTGCTCCTCGAGTAGTTGTACTGTATTATCTATGCCATGTGCTCCCATATGCCATTAATTTTTCTAAATATTTTCTCTTTTCTTCCATCCCATAAGGTACAAGAGTTATTCTTAGAGTTAGTCTGAAGCTTTCTTATGTATGATGTTGGATATTGTGTACTTATGTATAACGCCATCAATCGACACATCCGAAATAAAGGTACACAGTCTTTGGAAAAGTTATAAGATTCATCTAAAAAATTAAAATTTACTAAAATTAGCTTACTAGTTACTAGTAATATGTAACATTAAATATAGATAAAATAAAGCAAATTTCAATTCTAAAACAAGATTTAAAGGCTATTGACGACTAACAAAACATTGGTATTTACATTGGACTTCAGCAACATCAGGAATAACCTTTCCTGTAACAAATACATCAGATAATTATGCATTTAGTTAAACATGCTTTATATTATAGATTTTGTATAATGTAACAGTTACTTTAAAACTCATACAACTCTATATAAATATTTACCTAATACACGTGTGATTGTATTTTCTAAAGAAGTTCCAGTAACTCTTCTTTTTTCTGCGAGGGATGTCAAATTTAATCCTCCCAAATCTACGGAAATAATTATTAAATAACTGTGTTAAAAAGAAATAATAAAACACTAATTATATTTTAGTTGCTCGTGGTACATAAATATTGCATTACATTATAAAGAATTGTGATATAACTATTTTTTTGTACAACCAGTCATTAGTGTTAAAACTCAACATATGTTTTTTTTTCTATACTTAAAATCTCACAGATGTTATAACACAAAATTACAATTATAATTTGTTTGCGAAATTGATTTACAAACAACGTTTAAAATACATAAATTGTTACTAAGTCTCACAGTCTCTCTCTACTCATTTTAATAAAATGAAGTAAATTTCAACTCTTTGAAGAGCATGCCTTAAAGACTATTTAAGACTATTGAAAAATTCGTAATTACCTTGAACTTCGTCAGCTTTAGAATTAGCAAATTATGAAACAAATACATCAAAAATCAAATCATTATGCAATTATTAAGTTGGGTATATATATATTATATTCTATAAATAACAGTCACGTTAAAATTGAAATAAATTAGACCAAATTATTAATGCAAAATATTATTGAATAATTGTTAAATTTCCTATTTCACTTCACATATAAGAAGTGGGTGGGCCCCCTGGCTCCTCAGCTGAGCCTTTTGGTGGTAGAAAAGTGAATTAATTTTGCCTGCAATTAATAACCGTGTTAACTCAACCTAACCGCATTTAATCTAACTGAGAAGAGTTAAGACGTAACATTGTTCCCAAGACACACTAAATAAATGTATATATACAAATGATGACTGATATGAGGAAAGATATTTGAAGTGTACAACTATAATAGATAAAATCCTTATTCTTCTTTGACAATATTAGCACTCGTCTCATTATATTCTTGTTGTTATCTCTTAACTCTTCTCAGATGGATTAAGTTAGGTTAGGTTTAGTGATGACGCTTATTATTTGAAGCCTTAAAACGTTCACTTTTCTATCGCTAAGAGGTGCTGCACTGGGCCAGAGTATTCCACCTACTACTCATGTTTAGCCTTATGACTTTAAACTTTATATCTGTTTTTTATAGTTTTTTAAATTTTATATTTACTTAATGTATCTCTTATTTTTAGTTCTAGCTCCGACATAAAGCTGTCATACATGGGTCCTAAAATTAAAAACAAAATACATTTTTATTTTCCTACATATTTGTTATGATTGAAAACAATAAACTATAGTGGTATTTGTTAATGGGATCTTGCTAGTTACTACTATTTTACATGGTATAGATCACACATATTTTATTTGTTAAAATAAAGTCATAAAAAATAAATAGAATATGTATAGTGTCCGTAATGTACAGCTATACTAATTGTATACATACAAGAAAGTATGTGTAAAAATTCCTATTTAAAAATTTAATTCCTTAAAAAAAATTTTATTTAAATTTAGTTCAAAGTCCGTACAATTCCATGATAATATTTACCTAATTCACGCCTAAACATACTTCTTAAAGCTTGAGCAACATATTCTCTTCTCTCGTTTCCAAGAGTTTCCAAATTTAGTTCTCCAAAATCTGCGAAGATAATTAAATGGCAGTGTTACGAACAATAAAAAATAATATTTAATTACTTGTGATACATTGTTATAGGAAATAGGATTATATTTCAAAGAACTGTTACATAACTAATTTTTTGTAAAACCTGTCATTATAGTTGAAAATCAACGAATGTATACTTTCTACACTTGAAATCCCAAAGATCTTATTACACATTAACTTTGGTGTCACGCTTTAAAGGCTAGTTATGACTATGGGAAAATTCGTAATTACCTTGGCCTTCATCAGCTTCAGGATAAGCAATGACTGTAACAATCACAACATACATCAAATCATTTTGGAGTTAAAAAACCTGGTTTATACATTTTATATTTTACATGACAGAAAAAAATTCGTGTTATTTAGTTGTATAGGTTTAGTTAACTATTAATATACATTTTTTGACATTTTCATGTCTTAGCTCTGGCACATAACCCTGGCAAATATCCGAAAAAAGCGTTACCAAAAGAGCGTAACGAAAAAAAAGTTTTTCAGCCGAGTGTGCAACCACGAAAGAGCATTTTCATGTCTCGTTGAAGTACCGAATACATTTAGATTAGTTGTGGAATTATAATTTAAAAAAAAAAATTACATAGTGCTTCCAGTTACAGCATAAGGCCAAGGAGTTTAAAAAATTATGTACAATCAAGTTTCTGGCTAAAATTGTAGTGTTTATTATCTGGCCAAAAGTAACTTAACATAGAGAATTAAACTATTTTGAATTTATTATTTAGTTCTATTTTGAACGTTGAACGTACAACATATCTCTTATCTTATATCAGATAACAGCGTAACAGATTAACATTCGAAATGGATCCGAAATGGTCTTTCCGATAATTGTCTTTCGTCGTCGCTTCGTAGTGTCACAGCGTAACGCTTTTTTTGGTAACATTTTTTTTCGGTTATGCACCGGCTAATTCTCACCCCCAACCCCATTCCCATTCCCACCCCCAACCTCATCTTCATCCCCATTTATTTTTTTGGTAACGCTCTTTTCGTTACAATATTTTCGTTATAATATTTTCGTTACAATATTTTCGTTACGCTCTTTTGGTAACGCTTTTTTCGGTTATTTGCCAGGGTTATGTGCCAGAGCTAAGACATGAAAGTGTCAAAAAGGCGTAACGAAAAAGGCGTAACAAAAAAGGCGTAACGAAAAAGGCGTAACGAAAAAAGAAATGGGGTTGATGATGAGGTTGGGGGTGGGAATAGGAATGGGGTTGGGGGTGATAATTAGCCGGTGCATAACCGAAAAAAAGTGTTACCAAAAAAGCGTAACGAAAAAAGTGTTACGCTGTTATCTGATATGAGATAGGGGTGAGTGATAGGGGTGGGAGATAGGGGTGAGAATTAGCCGGTACATAACCGAAAAAAAGTGTTACCAAAAAAAGCGTTACGCTGTTATCTGATATGAGATAAGAGATATGTTGTACGTTCAACGTTCAAATTAGAACTAAATAATAAATTCAAAATAGTTTAATTCTCTATATATTAAACTATGTTAAGTTACTTTTGGCCAGATAATAAACACTACAATTTTAGCCAGAAACATGATTGTGCACAATTTTTTAATCTCCTTGGCTTATGCTGTAACTGGAAGCTCCATGTAATTTTTTTTTTTTAATTATAATTTCACAACTAATCTATATTTATTCGGTACTTCAACGGGACATGAAAATGCTCTTTCGTGGTTGCAGACTCGGCTGAAAAACTTTTTTATAAGGATTTTAATGTTATAATATAAATAATTCACTGCAATACTAAATGGATACAACTAATTTTAAAGTTCAACACTTATCCAAATAAATGACGGTTACTAACACATACTTTCATGTAATACAAATGGCTGTTCAATACGGAAACCATGCATATTCTATTACTTTTGTATGACTTTATTTTAACAAACTAGATAGTTGTGTTCTGTTATTACCTTGGACATCATCAGATCCAGTAATAACAACGTCTGTAACAAATACATTTAACATCAAATTATGAACGATTAATTATCAAATCATACGTAGCACTTTGCTTTTAATCGAATCTTTGATATTTGTTTTTTTTAACTACAAATATGTATAAATAACAATTTTGTAAATTTTATATTTACTTAGTGTATCTATTATGCCTCGCTGTATATTATACTGGTAGTAACTGCATTCTAAAATTTAATACAACATAATATATTTTAATCTACCTACATATTTGTATATGATTGAAACTAATATGTCCTTTTGGTATTTGTTAATGGGTACATATGATTATTCAAATGTGGTTACTTTTCATTGGAGAAAGGTCTTCATCGCCTAAAAAGAAAACAAAGTTCATGCTTGCATAAAGAATATCAGACAACTGCGTGGAAACATTTCCATTATTACCTGGTATATCATTAATAATTTCCAGTTTGTCTAAATGTAACAATTACATAAATTAATGATATTGTATTTATATATTATAAACAGGAAGACTAAGCTCTAAGTAGAAAATAACATATGTAATATTATTAATTTGGAAGAAATATGCTCCACTGTAAATTCAATACGATAGTAATCTCTTTGGAAAATTCTAAAGGAATGAAATATTAGAAATATTTTCATTAAATTTAACAAAAAATTATTACCCGGTACAGCGATCTTAAAATTCATTTTGGCTGAAATTGGTATTACATAAATTCTGTTTAATATGATGTTATAAATTATTACATTATATAATTACATAAATTGAAAAGTCAAAGTAGAAAAAAACTATATTAGGTAGACTTGGAAATCTTAATGAAAAAACAATGGCTAAATTGAAGCAAATGTAATGATACGAATAAAATATAATACTTAACAAGAAGAGGTTATTTTTTCATCAAGATTCCATTTAGATTTCGGCGAAAAATCTAATATTTATATCACTTATCAATTTTATAGTGTTAAATTTGAGTTGCAATTGTTGTATAATGATAAAATATTTTTTTCTACTTGGATTTATTTATTTTAATTATCTTTATGACTACCGAAAGAATTCCGTATATGTAAAGTGAAATTGACCATTGATTCAATTACACGTTCCAATACATCTAGAATAAACAAAAATATATTTGCGCTATACTCTAAACGATTGAAATAAAATCAAATGAGGTACCATATATATAAATCTTTAAAATAATATTTAACCATGCTTTAATCAGTAGCCAATTAACTTTAAGCAATTCGCTAGATCAGGTTTTTAAAAATCGATGTTAATAACTTGACAATTAGGTACACATAACGAAACAATTATATATTAGCATAATTATTTTAAATATATCTTCTTCCTACAGAATTACCTCCTCTAGATAAATGATAAGCACGCTTAAAGGCTGCATCTGTAACAAATAATTTAATAAAATATCTCTAAAATCAGTGAATTTTAAAAACTTGAAAAATATTTTTTTTATTAAACAAAAATATTACTGACTTGCAAGTAAAATTTGCTTCTTACATTCCGCTGTAAAAACATGAAATAATAGCCAGATTAATTTATATATAAATTACTAATTTGATTACTAAATTTGGTACACCCCCCCCTCAATAAATACACAAATCAAATTTATACTTAACCTAACCTGGGCTTACCTGCTACAACAGTTAAAATATTTTCTAAATTTATTAAAAAAAGGTATTATATAGCTTGCGTACGAGTCCGCAACACCACGGGATACGTTTTTATGTATCTAAGGTGGTTAGTAAACATCAAGTTTCTGGCTAATATTTTAGTGTTTTCATAATATCTGGCCCCTTATATTCACCCCCTATCTATTACCCCCCAACTTTAACACCCTTCCCTTATCTCTTATCTCTCTTATCAGATAAATCAGCTGTTATTTTTCGTTATTATAACCGGTGTCGGTGTCGATTTTTCCTGTTGTGTTCTAAAGTAATAACCATATCTGTTATCTGTTATCTGTTATCTCTCATATCTAAACAGATAAATCAGCTGTTATTTTTCGTTATGATAACCGGTGTCGTTATGATAAGTGGTGTCGGTGTCGATTTTCCGTGTGTGTGCCATAGCAAAGGCATAAAAATGTCAAAAGTGAAATATGGGTTTTTTTCGAATTTTCAAATTTTGAACTACTTTAAGTTTTTAATATTGTGAAACCAGAATAATTACCTTCTTCATCTGCCAAAGCACTTACAAGTACAAATGTTAGTAAAAAACACAAAAGTTTCATTTTTATCTGGAAATAATAACCAAAACATGACTAAGCATTATGCTTTTTACTCAACCCATGATGGATTTAAAACAAAACTATTCATAGTTGTATTGTGGAAAGAGGATAGAATTTTAAATGGAATTTTTTCATGGAATACATTTTTCAATGCATATCGGTTAAAAAAAAAGTTCTTAGAAAATAAATCAAAACAAAATGTATAAAAAACAAATAAATAAATCACAAAAATAAAGTTTCAAAATTAAAATCATTTAAAAACAAGTTTTTTTTTAGCTTCAAACTTAATTTTTAAAGTGAACAATAAAATTGTTTGAAAAAATTATATTTGCCTCATTATAGACTAGTTTATTTTACAACTAAATCAAACTCTAGTAAAAACATATTATAACATTTGTATTTATTTTTAAATTTAATTTTAAGTAAATATAAAAAAAATTTACAAATAAAATATTTGTATACGTATATTATGCAGACTTTAGTTTGCTACAAAAGTTTAGTTTTGTAGTTCATACATTATTTGAATTATTTTAAAAAACTTAAATCATTTTGCTGAATATTACTTGTTTGACGAAATATATATATATATTTTTCTTTTTTACTTTAGGTTTGTAACCGCCAAGACTCTACTTTTGTAAGGTATTTCGAGTACTATATCAAAGATTGCCCTCTTCCACTACACTCTACAGTATACATCAAGCCAAATAATGAATACATTTTAAATCTTTTATAGAATTCTCTACAAAATGTGGATTGTGTAAAACGCAATATATGTAATGAGGTTTTATTAAACAAATTTATAAGAAAATCCTTCGCTCAAAAACGTTGTTAATGGACGCTGTTAAGACCCTATAAAAAAATCACTAGCAATAAAAAATACCTATTACTGTTTTCTTATAACTTTTGGCTTATTTTATTTAACGCCAATTTAGATATATCGTAATTACAATTTTTAGAGTTTGATAGGAATACTTACTAAAACTGATTTTCTTAGACAATGATCGACTTAATCAGCTTGTACAACTTAATGTGCTTCTTGCGACTTATAATTCGATCGAAAAATCAAAATCTAATAAGTTATTGCAGTGTTACTATGTTCATTTGTTTACACAACTGGCTCATTCTTTATTTTCTGTAATATGATTTGTGGTGCACATACATTACTTCAACGCAAAGTTAAAATTATTTTCTTCTTATTAACAGGTTTTGCAATCGCCCATGCATCTAAGAAAATAACCAAATTGGTATTTTATTGAAAATTCAAGGTATTGTCACTTGTTCGTATGTACTTACCGCGTTTGTTGTTGGTATTTTATATATATTTGTGTACACACGAAAAGCGTCGCACAATCTGTTAAGTTTTGTATTTTTTATATAACAACTTAAATAAAAATTATTTAAGGAAAAGACGGTCGTACCTAGTACTTACGAATAAAAAACGAACATGTATCAACTATACAATTATAATAAAACTTACAAATTAGCAACGAGGCGTTTATTTTTTTTAGCAGAGAGCTATCTCTAGTATATCTATAACCAGTGACATTACTCTGCAATACAACCAGAATAAAATCAAGCGCTTTTGCAGGTGTGATTTATAGATAATATGTAATAAACTATTGTGTCAAATGATTATATTTCACATGGCGTTCGGGTAGACATTGGTGGCTACGGAAAATAATAATCATTCCTCACATCATCTGGTACACCGTAAATGAAGTTAAAAAAAATATATGAATTAAATTTAAACCTAAAACTGGTACATCTTGATATATTAATGTGGACTATTCAGGATGGTCTGCTTTCAATTCTGTATTGATATGTGAGTTCTTTGGCAACGGTTCTATGATTCAATAACTCCAAGATAAGAAAGAAGACCACATTGACGTCTTAGACAGATATAGATGGATGGGGTGCGGAATGACCTGATAAATGAAGAGGATAAGTGCATTTTTATTTTTAAAAATGTTTCGAATTAAATTATGTATAATATGGTAAAAAGGATTGAGTGTCTGTTTAAATCTACACAAAAGGAACAAATGTGATTTTAATCGTGAGTAAATGTGTTTATTATGAAGTATATAAAATTTATTGACACCGATTAGTGCAATATGAAATAGGATATTAGTGCAATATGAAAGTATTTATACATTAAAATAACAATAGTATTAAATAATTTTAAATAATTTTAAAACACTTGTATCATTGATTCCTGGTATAAATTATATGAACTGCTCCTCAAGTAGTTGTACTGAATTGTTTCCATACTCCATCAATTTTTCTAAATATTTTCTCGTTTCTTCCATCCCATAGAGTACAAGTATTACTATTGTAGTTAGTCTGAAGCTTTCTTATGTATTCTGTTGGATTTTGTGTACTTATGTATAATCCCATCAATCGACAAAACCGTAATAAAGGTATACCTCTTTTAGACAAATTATAAGATTCATCTGAAAAAGTTTTAAAAAAATGTTTTTTTTTTTAATTTTGTTAAAAATGAGCTTACTAACTACTTTTTAATAATATTGTAGTAAAAATAAAATAAAGCAAATTTTAACTCATAAACAGGATTTAAAAGCTATTTACGAATAACGAAAAATTGGTAATTACATTGAACTTCAGCAACTTCAGGACTATTCCTTCCTGTAACAATTAATACATAAAATAGTTATGCAGTTAATAAACCATAGTATGTATTAGGTTTGATATAATAAAACATGCACTCTAAAACCCATACAACTCTATAAAAATATTTACCTATTACACGTGTGAATGTATTTTCTAAAGAAGTTCCAGTAACTCTTCTTTCTTCTATAAGGGTTGTTATATTTAAGCGTCCCAAATCTACAAAATTAATTATCAAATGACTTTGTTGAGAACTAATAATAAGTATAAAAAATATTTTAATTGCTTGTGTTACATAAATATTGCATTGCATTTCGAAGAATCGTGATATATTTAATTTCTTATAGAACCAGTCATTATTGATAAAACTCAACGTGTGCATTATTTCTGTACTTAAAACCTCAAAAATGTTATAACACATAACTATAATTATAATTGGTTTGTGAAATTTATTTACAAACATAACGTTCAAAACACATAAATCGTTACTAAGTCTCGCATTCTCTCTTCTCAACAAAATACTTATTTTATTAAAATTATTGTTTGGCATAAAACATTAAATCATATGAATTTAAACTCTAAAACAAGTTTTAAAGACTTTTGATGATTAAAATTCGTAATTACCTTGGACTTCATCAGCTTCAGAAATAGCAAATTATGTAACAAATACATCAAACATCAAATCATTATGCACTTAATAAATCCAGGTACATACATTTTATATATAAAATTAGACCAATTAATTAATGCAAAATAGTATTGTATAAATGTTTAAATTGTTTATATAAATGTAAAAACGGTTTATACATTTTGTTTCGAATGATTATCAAAAGCATAAGCATGAAACATATGTGAGGCGAAAAGAGAAAAGGGACTTTTTGTCATAAAAATCTAAATTCTGAACGTTTTGACTCCAGAATCGTTCTCCTATCTTGAGAATTGACCATGTCATATTTGTTTACACTTATTTCCAGAAAATGTGTTTTTTTGAGAAACAACGCTTTAAAGTTTTGTTAATGTGCCAACTTTTTATTTTACATACTTAGGGAATGAAACTTAACTAATAATTAAAATACTGTGCCCTAAATCAAATAATATAATATTTTTTCATAAATATTTTTCCAACCTCTGGTGGCAGAGAAGTAAACTAATTTTGGCTAAGAATAATAAGCTTTATTACTCAACCCAATCTAACTGAATTAAGTGAGGTTAGGTTGAGTGATAACGCTTATCAATCTAAGCCCAAATAAGATCACTTTTCTATCACTAGGATGCGCTGATTCCCTACTATTCATAAAGATATATCTTTATGATTTCAAGCTTTCAATCGATTTTTTATAGTTTTTTCATTAGAACTACATGTATGTATAGTTATTAATTTTGTATAATTATATATATTTACTTAATGTATCTCTTATTTTTAGTTCTAGTTCCGACATAAAGTTGTCATACTTGGATCCTAAAATTAAAAAAAAATATATTTTAACTGTCTTTCATATTTTATACAATGAACCAATATGTCATATCGGTATTGTCAATAGGAACTTATTAGTTACTACTTTTCTTTATGGTGAAGAATACAAATATTTGATTTGTTAAAATAAAGGCAAAAATAAGTTTTATAATTTGCATGGTGTGAAACTAGTAATCATCACTTGTTTGGATAATTGTTAATATTTAAAATAAGTTGTGTCCTTGTTAGATTGTAGTGAATCATGCCTATTTTAAATTTTAATTTCTTACAAGAAAAATTATATATAATAATTATATTTTAAAATTCGTATAATTCTATAATAATATTTACCTAATTCACGTCTAAATATATTTTGCAAAGCTTTAACAACATATTCTCTTCTCTCGCTCGCAAGTGTTTCCAAATTTAATTCTCCAAAGTCTGCGAAAATTATGAAGTAAGCCGTGTTAGGAATAATAAAAAATAATTTAGTTCCTTGTAATACAATTTTATTGCAATATATTTCAAAGAACTGTGGTAAAACTAATTTTAATAAAATGAAGTAAATTTTAACTCTTTGAAGAACATGCTTTAAAGACTATTTAAGACTATTGAAAAACTCGTAATTACCTTGGTCTTTATCAGCTTCCGGATAAGCAATGACTGTAACAAATACACCAAATATCAAATAATTATGCAATTAAAATACCTGGTTTAAACATTTCATACGTTTTACATCAAGGAAAATAGCCCTTGTAGTTGAAGCTTTAAGAAATATGTTCAGATGTGAATTAGGCAAATATTAATATGTAGTTGTATAGGTTTTATTAACTATAAATGCACATTATTTTTTAATGGATTTAAATTTTTTAATAGAAATATTTCACGACAATATAACATAGATACAACTAAATTTAATATATAACAATAATCTAAATAAGAGATGATTACAAACACATACAATTTGTATTGTAAATGGTTAATAAGTCTAACTCATAAAACAAAAAACAAATATAGTAAAGCAAAATTCAACTCTAAAACAAGATTCAAAGACTCTTTACGACTAAAATTCGTAATTACCTTGAGTTTCATAAGATCTAGTAATGTCAACGTCTGTAACAAAAACAACAAACATCAAATAATTATGCCTTCAAATATCCCGGTTTATATATCGTATACATAACAGTCACTCTAAAACTGAGATAAATCATACTAATTAATTTAAAAAAATATTATTGTATATTAAATTATTTCTAATAGCAACGTCTGAATAAACGGTTTATATTAAATAGTGAATTATCATAAAATGCTTCTATGTTTTATTTTGTTATAATTTGTCTTTTGAACTGTAATTATGTATAATTATTAATTATTGAATTTTATATTTACTTAATGTATTTAATATTTTTCGTTGTATATTATACTGGTAGAAACTGCATCCTAAAATTAAAAAAAAAATAATATATTTTAATCTACCTACATAATTTTTTATGATTGAAACCAATATGTCCTGTTGGTATTTGTCAATAGGTATATAAGATAATACTCAAAGTATTTATAAATAATGAATATGCGTTAAGTATATTAAATATAAAATACACAAATGTGGTTACTTTTCATTAGAGTCAGGTGTTCATTTTCTGAAAATAAAATAAAAATCTTGCGTCTATAAAAAATATCAAACAACTGTGTGGAAATACTTCCATAATGTGTAATGAAAATTATTACCTGGTATATCGATGACAATATCCGTTTTTTCTGAAAATAACATTACATAAATTAATGATATTGCCTTTAACTTTATGTTATAATAAAAACAGGAAGACCATAAGCTTAAGTACAAAATAACATGTGTAATAGTAACTTCAAAAACAAAAATGATTACCCGGTACAGCGATCATATAATTGATTTTGGCTAAAATTGATATTATTTAAATTAATGATAATAAATTTAATTTTCTATTATAAATTATTACATGTTATAATTATATAAATTGAAACTAATAAATCTTTATAAAATTACATTAGTTGAATTGAAGCAGATGTGGCGATAAAATAAAATATATAACTAAAAAGACGAGGTTGACTGAGCTAAGAACTGTGATTTTTCAAAAAGATTACATTTAGAGTACGGAGAAAAATCTAATATTTATATCAACTATAAATTGCATAAAGATAAATTTGACTTGCAATTATAATATAATTTTCAAATATTGTTTTCTATTTTTATTTCTTTATTTTGATTATAATTATTGTTATAATTATGAGTACCGAAACAATTCCGTGTATGTAAAATGGTATTGACAATTCTTTCAATTACATACTCCAATCCATCTAGAATAAACAAAAATAGATTCGAACTATTATAATAGATTGAAATCAAATCAAATTAAGTAACTACAGTAATATATATTATATAATATATTTAACTTTACACTATATAACCTTCATATAATATGTTTTATGTTATCATTTAATATACAGTACGCGTTGTGTATATAGAATCTTCAAACAAACTTTTATAAGTAGCTATGCATTAATTCCTGATCTTTTATACATCTCTATTAAACAGGTAAACTGTTTTAAGCATACACTTGTCCTCGCACTATTCACATAATAAGATGTTAATTAACATACCTACTACCATTATCTTGATAGTGTTATTATAAATCGTTACTGTAAAAATTGTAATGTTCTGTACACTGGTTTTACATATCTGGTGCACTTTTTACTATAAATAAACACTAAACTTTCATAATACATAACGAAACATCTATAAATTCGTTATATATTAGCATATTAATTTTATATATATCTTACTTTCTTCAGAACCACCTCCCACAGTTAAATTATAAGCACACTTAAAGGCTGCATCTGAAATACATAATTTAAAAAAAAGAAGAAGAAAAACAATTTATTTTCAAAACTTGATAAAATATTTTTTAATAAACAAAAATATTACTGACTTGCAAGAAAAACTTCCTTCTTACAATCCGCTGTAAAAAAAAAGTGAAATATTGGTTTATTTTCGAATTTTAAAATTTGAATTTACTTTAAGCTTGTAATTGTGAAAAAAATAATTACCTTCTTCATCTGCTGATGCACTTACAAGGACAAATGTTATTAAAAAACACAAAAGTTTCATTTTTATCTGCAAACAATAACCAAAACATGACTACGCATTATGTTTCCTAGTCAACTCATGATGGATATAAAGAAAAACTATTCATGCTAATATTGAGAAAAAAAAATAGCATTTTAAATGGAATGTCTTATCCGTTAAAAAAAAATTCTTAGCAAAAATATATTTCCTCTGCCTCAATTAAAAAAATGAATATAGAGCAAAATTATTTAGATTTTCCATCATAAATAAAATGTTTCAATCCTAAAAATATTTTTAAAAAAAATAAAGTACTAAATTTAACTTAACATACGTGTTCAATTTTATTTTTAGCATTTTTATATAATCGTCAAATAAAAAATTCCAAAATAAAAAGCATACAAAATCAAGCGTTTTTTATCTTTGACTAAGTTTTTGAAGAGAATGTCTTTTGGAAAATTACTTTAGACTGATTTATTTTAAATCAAAATTAAATTTTGAAAAAAAAATTATAAAATTTGTTTTTGCATGTTTTAAATTTCATTTTCAGTGCTAAAAATAAAATTGTACACTTATATTATGCAGAATTTAGTATTTTTAAAAGTACATTTTTTTACGCATTTAGGACCTTTTAAAAAAATCACTAGCAATAACAAATACATTATTACTGTTTTCTTACACTACAACTTTTAGCTTATTAAGATCATGTCATTATATTTTTAACGTAATTACAATTTTTAGAGTTTAATAGGAATACTTACTAAAATAGTTGCGCTGTTGTTCTTAGACAATAATCGACTTGATCAGTTTTTGAAAGTAAATGTTCTTCTTTCGACTTGTAATTCAGTCGAAAAATCAGAATATAATAGTGTTCTTGCAGTGTAACTATGTTCATTTAATTTACACAGCTGGTTAATTTTTTTAAAAATATTTTTTGTATGATTCATGGTGTACATTACATTACTTTAACGTATGGTTTAAATTATTTTCTTGTTATTTATAGGTTTAACAAGCTCCCATGTATCTAATATTTAGAAAATGTATACAATTGTCATAGAAATTTAATTCATATTTGGCCTAAATATTATGACTAAGCCAACTTTTTGAAATGAAAAACACTTAAATAAGTAAAATATATTATTGGACGAAATAGTATTATTTTTTTTTTTTTATCACGGTTTACCAAAAATGTGTCATCGGTTACAAATTTTATACAACTTAAAAGATATTGAAATTTGGGCTCTTGATACCCGTTTACCCGGGTAAGCAGGTACCCGGGTTTTTCGGGTATTGACCGGGTATGCAAACATTGGGTACCCGTTATTATACATTTACCCGGGTTTTTCCAAACTTTGCGTGAAATCTTTCTGTTTCATTAATAGACCATTAGAGTGAAATGTATATGAGACATCCACGGCAAATTTATATTGTTTTTTTAACTATAATGTTTACAGTAATAATTTTACTCAACATAAATTTATCGTAAGTATACAAATATATGTACTTAATTATTATATTAAATGAGTACAACAGTAAGTGATAATGTGTATAGGTAAAGGAAAAATCTAAGTCAATAAATTAAAATCATTTCTATTCATCAACGTTATCACGAAGAACACATACAAAAGAAAAAAAAAGTTCATAATCAGTTTTGAACATTTATTTTTAAAGTTATAAGAGTTTTAAAGTTAGGACGTGAGGGGAAGTCCGGTGGGGAAGTACGCAAAGATAAAATTGATAGTACTTTTCTTCCTGCCTTAAACTTGAAACTTTAATAACATCAAAAATACTTATCCAAAAATACCCGTTGCTTTTATACCCGGGTAATTGAATCAACGGGTATTACCCGGCGGGTATCACGAGCCCTAATTGAAATATTAAAATTTTTAAATAACGTTTAATTATATTATGTAAAATAGCTAATTAAATTTGACTAGGTAATAAGTCCCAGAAAATGCAGTATTGTACAACAAAGTACCTGGCCAAAGCTAACTCTATTCAATCTATAAACAAAGGCCAGACGTTTGAATTAAATGATACGAAAGCTCATCGAATTGTTAGCATCACATGAATGTATAATATTAGAAAATTTAATCAATCTAATCTAGTTAACCATTGTAGCTACCGTGCTTATTTAACCTTTTACAACATTATATTTTTCTGATGTATATTTAAAAAGTTCACCTCTTTATCTTCAAAACCGAGAAAAAAACAAATTCGTAAATGCTTTTTACATTTTTTTTTATAAGATCAATCGATTTATTTTTAAATTTTGTATCTTTAAAAATTATGTAAAAGAAAAATATTTACATCATTTGCTCATTTTTGCCTGTTGAATATAACACATGCGTATCTATATTTTGAGTTAGTTCTGCAGGCGAATATTTGAGAGTTTTTTAGGTGTAGCTGAAGTTTTACTTCTGGATTGCGATTGAATGCTTTGTACTGAACTTTGGTAGGAGAAAAATTAAAACCTATTTTTATGGATTAACGTTTAGTATCATATGCCTGTCCCAAGTCCAAGGAAATTAGTTGGATGTTTTCTTTTTGCCAAATTACCACATTAATATTAAAAAAAAGTTTAAATAGAGAAATGTTTACTGTACAAATAGAAATAATTAACAACTTGTGAACTTTATAATGCAAAATCTATTAAGAAAAACAATGTATTTTTGATAAAAAGAACTATAATAATAAATGAACAACTATAATAAATATTTTAAATAATAAAACTGTAAACAAATTGTGGTACGTTGTTAAGATAGATTTTATAACGTTGAAACTTAAACGATTGTTACAATAACAGATCAATATTTGTTGTTTGTTAAGATTGCTTCTGTTATTTGTGAAAAATACTGTACTTTCAGTAGGAGCATGTATCATTAGATTTTATACAATACAATCTTTTTTTAACGAATTTATAAAGCAAGTTATGAATACATACAACTTTAAAATTAATAACGAAACTTATAAGAGGCCCTGCATATATGTCTTATATCATTAACATTTCACAATTTCATGGGAGGGTAACTTTGCAAATTGCTTACACTTAACTCATTAATAAATAGGTAGGTAATTATTATTAACCCTTTTTAACAAACAAAATAAATTTTACTAGTCAAATGTATCTTTATTAGGTATTAATTTTTAATGAAAGTGATACGTATTTTTTTAACTTTTTGAGTTGAGAATAATAATAATAATAATAACAACAAAAACAAATTTAAAAACTAACTAAAGTATTCAAGAAAAAATAACTAATAATAATAAAAACTGTAATAGTTTCAAAAAAACCCGTTATATTTATTCAACGTGACCAATCACATGACTACCAGGTCCAGGAATTAATCCAAGGTTCATGGCTTGAATAAATTCATGGAAATGCATTTCGCCATCTGAAATTTACAAATATTTTTATTTTAAATTACTAATAATTAATTAAAACCCATTGTAACATATTTATTATTTTAAGACTCAGGCCAAACCAGAACGTATAAAATGTTTCAACAAAATCATAAAAAGTTTGGCCACACACAATATATTTTTTACTATTTATAAACATATATGTATATATTTTTTTTTTATAGAAATAATAAGCCTGGAAATCAAAAGTTTTAGTAGTTATATATCATTAGCTGTAGGAAAAACACTCCTTACATTTTTTTTGGCCAAATTAATTACCTTTCAGGTAAGCTTTCAGTAGTCTATTGACTTTGACCTGGCTTTGATCTGATGAATTCGACTTGCCGATAACCAGTTTTGGATAGTAATTTTTAAAGTTATTAAAATTTAAAAGTTGGGACAAGAGGTGAAGTCTCGTCAAGTAATCGACAGATAAAAATAGTACTACTCACCACCCTTACACCTTATACCGAAGTCCTTGAAAACCTTTTTTGAGTACATTGATAACTTTAAAACTACAATCTCCTGAACTAACTTTCTATAGCTAAGACGGTGTTAAATTAAGTTATTGAAAATCGTATTTACCGTATTTATCCATAATGTCTTTGAGTTCAGTTTTATCCATTTTAGTATAATACTTAGCCATATCGCTGAAGACAACGTAACATCTGACCTCTTCTTCTACTGTTCCTTCTTCTACTGTTCCTTCTTCTACTGCTTCTTCTTCTACTGTTCCTTCTTCTACTGCTCCTTCTTCTACAAGTCTTATTTTATCAAATATTTCAAATATCTCCTAAAAATTGTGATTTGTGTTTAAAACGTATACAAACGACAACAGAAACATTAATTAAGTTGGTATAAAACGTTATATTCCAATGCTACTAACTTGATCAAAATGTATTTATTTAATTAAAATAAATATTAAGATACATTCCAAGTCTCGTGTAAAGATTAGGTGAATTATTCATGACGTTTAATAATATTTAATAATAATAATATTATCAGAAATAACATAATAATTTCAACATACATATACTTGCCATCTTGGTACCAAGGCTTCTTTCATAGCTTTCTTAAACTCTTCAAAATTCATTTCGTAGTCTTTATCAGTTTTACCTCCTAAAACCACGACATCATAATAAAAAAATAAATAACAAAATGTCTCTAAATTTTTTTAATTTGTCTGTAATGTAAACATTAGAAAACGAAACCAAAACTAATGTAATAAATAAACCTAACCTTTTTTTTTTAGTTACACCACAATGAACAACCCATTTAATACCGGATGATTGGTCAATGATGACCCATTCTATAACTTAGAAGATATAAGACTTCTGTTGATTACATTTTTTTAAACTGTAAAGTTATAAGCTAGGACAAATTTCGTATATTTTAAAAAATTATAACATAATTCCTTTTACGTTCAAACGGTATGTAGCTAAATTTTATATATTTACAGTAACGTATATTATATTTGATTAACTTTCTAAATTAAAATTAATTTGCTGAACATTTAGACTGGTCGATAACCAGCTTTGGATGATTATTTTCAAAGTTATTAAAATTTAGACCTTCTTTACTTGTAATGACAATAATAGCACAATTACATATTTAAAATTTAAATATATAATAGAAAATTTCAGTAGCAAACTAACACTGGTGCAATTTTTAATTATTATTATGTGACCTTTTCTGCATCGTTATATGCCCCAACCCCTTCTTACTGACTTCTTTGTTAAAGTATTTTGATTAATAGTATACGCATAGTAGTCTTAGAGATGTTAACAAACAACAAATTGATTACCAGATTTCCTATGTCCTTTTGTCATAACTAAATTCTCGAAATATCCTTCTGCACCTTTATTAATTGCATCGAAGTGATTTTCGTTAATGCAACTATCGCCTTTACTTAGAATGTCCCAATATTTTTCTATTTCCTAAAATAGTAATAAAATAATATCCATAACAGTTATAAAACGAATATAAAATGAGGGCCAAACTTAATTCGGTTGTTTGCTAAAGTGTATAGGCAAACTTTATGTTGGAGGTAAATTTTCATAGATCTTTTATGAAGGTGATACACATAATGTATGTTTACATTTTAGTTCACTGAACAAACTTATATATTATTCACCAGTATTAAGAAATTACTTCATTTTATTTTAAATATGTAAACATAGGTAAATTATTGTTGGCCAAATTATAGTTACCGCATCTGAGATGATCGTACTATTGTTGGCCGCAATGGTATATATTAAACTGAGTAATGTAATGTAATGAACTTCCATTTTTCTGTTTTATAAACTTTTAGAATCTCATGAAAAATTTTAACTTGAAAACATATAAAACACAAATGAGTCTTAAAAAAGTAATAACAAGAAAAAACTAAAATTGTTCACATTTTTCAACACAAAGTTAACATGACTTTTTTAAAAATAGTCCAAAATATTCAAAACTTGTATGAA